GGGTGGGGGCTGGGGTCTCAGGGTGACCCTCTGTGGTGCGGGCAGAGGAGACGGGTGGGGGCTGGGGTCTCAGGGTGACCCTCCAGAGGATGGGCCAGGTGCTGTGGGGCCCTCATTACCGAGCCGGGCACCCTTGTCCACCACGCTGTTCACAGAAGGGGCAGGAGCTCGGCCTTTCCGCAGGGGCCTGGCCCTCGTGGGGTCTGGGCCATGCACCCTCTTTGCTATGGGGGCCTCTTGTTTGGGTTGAGTAGGAGCCAGAAGGCCTCCAGGTGGAAGAGAAGGAGTGCCCTGTGCAGAGGCTCAGCAGCATCCTGGGGCCCCTGGAGGAGCTTCTGCAGCCGCTCTTCCCCCTGCTCAGCCTCTCCGAGGCCAGGTACCAGGGATGACGTTGCCGCCGGCTCCCCACCACACTCATGCATGGACACGTGTGTCCAGTGCCGTGGGCAACCACGTGTGCTTGCTGTGCCTTCTCGGCCACCTTTGTTCCAGACTCCGCGCCGCCCGCCTGCTCCCAGGAAGCAGTTCTTCCTGGATCTGCCTCCATTCCTGCCTGGAGGAGAACTGCCCACTGCCCACTCCCCACGGCCCCTCCAGCCCCCGGCCCAAGCGTGGGGTGGGATGGCAAGCACCTCTGAGGGACCGCCTGGGCTCCTTTGATTTGGGGTGGGAAGGAAGGCAGAGGGGACAGATACCTGGCACCGTTTAGCTCGGCTGGTGGATCAGAGATGATCCTGAAATCCTGTGGCTCATCCCGGCCCCACCTCAGTGGGACCATCCCAGAAGTGAGTGTGGGGATTCGTGGCGCCGCTGCCTTAGCGTGAAACAGGCTGAGGAGGGGTCGCCTATATTCCAAGCGTTTGTTATCTGTTATATTTTTGAATATATCACCTGACTTTCAGAGTGCAGATGCCCGTGGTCGTTGCTGATTCAGGGAAGTCGAAGGGCAAAGACAAGGAGAGGAAAATGTCCACAGGACAACACAGTGAGTGGGGCGGGCGCGGCCACTCAGCGCGGGGAGCTGGTCCGGCCAGGAGAGGTGGGGTCGGGATCCACCCACCCATCCAGGAACGCCAAGGGGGGTCAGGAGCCCAGGAGCCCCACAGGCCCTGCAGCCCCTCCCTCTGAGGCCTCCCTGCGCATGGGGTCCCTGGAAGGTTCTGTGCACAGCCACGGACTGGGTCGGAGGGTCCGTGCCTCTCCGGATAGGAGGCTCCGGGTAGGAGGCTCTGTGCCAAGCCCCCTGAGAGCACCACGGAACCCAGCACAGCTCCCTCGCGAGGTGGATCGGCAGCCCCACCACACCACGCGTGCTTGCTAACAAAACAAATCGTGTGGAGGGACAGGCGTGATGGGAGGCGGTTCCTCACCCCGTTCTGGGGCATCTGGAGGAGAAGGTGGCGTGGAGTCAAGGCGGGCTGCCAGCCTTTCCCAGCGCCCAGCAGCCAAGTCAGGAGACGGAGCCTTGCGGCCCCGTGGGAGGGGTCCCGTCTTCAGGAGCTGATCTCCCTACACGGCTGTTTCCCAGACACAGTCCAGCCCGAGGTTGTGGATAAGATCATCCTGGTCGCAGACAGACCTCTCCTGGAGCTGCCACTGGAAGGCCTCTCTGTGTTTGATGAAGGGACAATTTCCTCTGTGTCACGAGAATTTTCTCTTCAGATGTTGTGGAATCGCCTCCATAAAGAAGAGCCAGGTAGGGACTGCCCTTAGCCACCTTATGTCTAATTTTAAAAAGGAAATATTTATTTTTCAGATGAAACAATGTTAGCTCCTATCAAAAAATAACCATCAAATGTTGCAACATTTTTCTAGGCATTTATTCACTCAAAGATATTTACAGAATATAAATACTCACCAATCTGGGCAACATGGCGAGAGTGCATCTCTATAAGAAGTTTTAAAATTAGCCGGGCATGGTGGCGTGCACCTGTGGTCCCAGCCACTCAGGAGGCTGGGAGCTGAGATGGCACCACTGCACTGCAGCCTGGGCAACAGAGTGAGGCCTTGTCAAAAATAAAATATGTATGTATATATATAAACACTCAAAACTACTTATAAAATATCTGCTATGTGCCAGTATCCTGGTGCCAACACACAGGGAAGACGAACTTAATGCCGTTCTTGCCCCCACAAACATCTGTTCAAAGGAGGAGACCAGATGTGTAGTGAACAGCCAGCCTCTCCGTTAATCACTCAGACTGTGGAGAGCCATGAGGGAGAGCGCGGAAGGCCCTGGCCTCGGCTGGGATTCGGGGGTGACCGCATTCTGTGACTGAGTGCTGGCTGTGCAGACGTGCCCGGTTTGTGAAAATTCCCCAAGCCCTACACTTGCGGTATGTGCAGTTTTCTGCATGTATGTGGCACTTCAATATCAAAATTAAAAATAAATAGATTGGACTTTTGCTTCCATCTCAGATGAAGTAACAAGGACCAGATTTGTCCTTCCAGCTGAGACAACTGTAAACCAGAGAAAAACACATGAAATGAGGGTTTCAAACACTGACCGGCCCGTCGCGCAGGACGGGGATCGTTGAAAGAGGGGTTGGCTGGTGAGTGCCACGGCGGCCCCCCCGCCCCCGGCTCTTACTCTCTGGAGAGTTTCCAGGTCACAACATTGTTGGGGGGGGGTGGGAAGAGCCCAGGGGTCTCCCCAAGTTGAGGACAGGCAGTTTGGAGTCTGGGGAAACCGACAGCTGCAGCGTGCAGGGCGGGACGCCCGGAAGGAGAGAGCTGCAAGGAACGGCCACTCCGAGATCTGCAGAGCCCTCGGCAGGAAGACGGCCGCCGCCTGTGTGCGAGGCCAGGGAAAGAGACAGCTCTGAAAACAGTGAAAAGACGGATAAACACTTAAAACTCCTTTATTTTCAAAATCTCTTTAAAATGTTTTTGAGCAAAAAGTTTAGAGCAAAGGAAAATAATAATGGTTTGGGGTTTTATAACATAAACGTGAAATGAATAACAGCACCAAAGATGAGAGGGAGGGATGGAAGCAAAGTATGTAAAGGCTCCATCCTCTAGAGAAAGTGGTATAATATTACTTGAAGATAGACTGTGATAAAGTTATAAACTATACATCCTCAAGTAATAAAAACAAAACAACAAGAAAAACAAGCCCCCCGAGTTTACAGCAAATACGTAATGAAGAAGATGAAATGGAATCATAAGCAGCCCCTTAATCCAAAAAACACAGAAAAAAAGGGAAGAGAGAACAGATAGGAAAAATAAAAAAGAAATAGCAAGATAGTATATTCCAACCCAACCATATCCATAATCACATTAAGTGTCTAAACACCCCCAACTAAAAGAAAAAGATCATCTGATTAAATGAAAATTCAGCATTCATAATACGCTTCCTCCAAGAAACCCACTTTAAATGAAAAGAAAATGGTGAGTTAAAAAGAAAGGATGGAAAAACCATATCTCTTAGTATCCAAAGAAGGTTGGCATGGTGAGATTAAATCAGAAAAAGTGGAGTTCATCCTGGGAGTGTGACCAGAGCTACAGCGGGCCGTTCCGTAAAGAGGCGGCGGCTAATTCATGAAGAGGGTGTGAAACCTAAATGTCTGTACGTTGATTAACATCACGGCAAAATACACGAGACAAAACCCACAGAGCCACAGAACAGTCAAGACGCACCCGGGGATGGCTGGGGAGGTCAACATCCCTTTCTCAACAGTGATGGAGCAAATATGCATCAAATCAGTCGGGTGTGGAGGATTAAACATGCCAGGCAGCCTCATCTCACGGACGTTTATGTGACATTCCTCCCACGGCAGAAGAATGTACACTTTTTTCACACACACACACGGAACATTTGACGAGATGTACCCTAAGTTGAGCCATAAAACAAGCCACAAAAATATTAAAGGGTCCAAATTATCCACAGTAGGTTCTCTGACCACAGTGGAGTTAAATTAGAACTTAATAACAGAAATCATGCCTGGAAAACCCCAAACGCTTGGAAACTAAACATACTTCTTAAATACCCGTGGATAAAAGAAGACATTAAAAGGTAAATTCAGAAAATACTGTGTTGTGAATGAAGACAAAAACACAATTTATCATTACTTGTGGGTGCTGCTGACGCGCAAGAAGGGATTTACGGAACTAAACATGTATATTAGAAAGAAAAAAGGCCACAGAGCAATGACCGCTATTTCTATCTTCAAAAATTAGGAAAAGAAGAACAAATTTAACACAAACATTATCAAGGATGATTAACATAAGAACAGAAATCTATGACACAGGAAACAGAAACACAAACCAAAAGCAAGTTCTTTGAGAAAAATCAATAAAATTAATACACCTCTAGTCAGGTCAGGCGGATCAGGAAAAGACAGAGACACAAATTATCAATATCAAAAATGATAGAGGGAGCATCACTACAGAGTCAAGAGAAGATAAAAAGTAAATAATGAATAAAGCCATGTCAATAAATTTAACAACTTACATGAAATGGACAAGTTCCTCGAAAGACCAAGCTTACATAATCACTCTAGAAGAAAGGGATGGCCTGGATAGGCCCGTATCTATTAAGGTAATAGACAGTTTAGTTTAAAATCTTCCCACAAAGGAAAAACCTCTACACCCAGAGGATGTCTACACACATCCTCCCACAGCAATTAAAGAGGAGAGACGCTACTTCCCAGCTGATTTTCTGAGGCTGGCATTATCCGGACACAAACCCAGAGAAAGACATTAGGAGATTTAAAAAAAAGGACCAATATGCCTCATGAATATAGATGCTAATAACGTTCTTAACAAAATGTTAGGAAATGGAGCAAAACGAGACGTTACAAGGATTTATATTATGTCCACGTGGATTTTAACCCAGGAATACAAAGGTCATTTAATATTTGAAAAATCAGCCAATGTGATTCACCATATCCATAAGCTAAAAAATAAAGACTATCCGATGATTGCAATAGATGCAGAAAAGCATTTGACAAAACCCAACATCCACTCCGAATACGAGCTCTTAGAAAACGAGGAGGGGAAGACAGCTTCCTCCGGCTGGCAAAGGACATCCGCAGAACAGCTGTCCCTGAGTGTCGCAGGTCGGCCGGAGGCTGAGGCCGTCCCCCGAGGCCAGCAGCCAGGCAGGGCCACCCACTGCAGTGTCAGCACCGTGCTGGAGAGGAAAAGCATCTAGATAGTTCTTCTCTGCGGGTGGTCTCATCATCTGTGTAGAAAGTGTGATCTAGTGAGTGATTTTGGCAAGGTTGAAGGATACAAAAGTCAAGGTACAAAAACCAATTGCATTTCTGTATAACTAACTATCAGAAGTTAAAACTTAAAACACTACCATTGACAATGGCTTCCAAGCCGGGAAATACTTAGGGATACATTTGACAAAAGGTGCAAGACTTTGTACACTCATACTATAAAACATTGCTGAGAGAGAGTAAAGAACTAAACAAATGGAGAGAAGCATCAGGCTCTTAGGTGAGAAGGCCCAGTATTGCCAAGGTGTCAACTTGTCCTAAAGTAATCTGTAGATTCCACACAACTCGAGTCAAAATCTCCACAGGTTTTTTTTGTTTTGTTTTGTAGAATTTAACAAGTTTATTCTTTTTTTTTTTTTTTTTTTT